GTATGTGATGGAGAAAAATTGATATTTTGGGATTCAGTGTACAGGATGGGACCATAAAGCCTTTAGAAAGTGTTTGATAATTCTCAGAAGGAAGGAGAGTATACTAAAATTATGTGTTTATATTAGCTGGATGAGCGTAGTAACTCACATTGATGCCTTAGAACTCTTGCAGACAGATAAAAGTCTGGATGCACTGGAAGGAATTCATTACTTTAGACCTGGCATTTCCGTACTGGTCAACGACCTAAAACTGCAATTAACACTCAAAATGTTTTATGTTTTGCATCATTCCATTTGTTGTAATGCAACCAGTACTTTAGAGAGGCTTATGGAGGTTACATTAAAAGTAGTGTGTTGGGAGAAATATGTAGTCTAGGACGATTATGTCTTGGTGTTTGACTGCAATTTGACTCAATACTTCAAAGAACAAGAAAAGCAGACTTGAAGTTAAAACCAGTGAAGTGTACACTCATGTACATATAGATGGAATTTTTTATCATATTTCTGGTAGAGATAGTGTCTTCATTTATCTTGCAAAGATCACAGCAGTTTGTAACAAATTGAGAAGTTCACAGTATCTTTGGTTTTATGGTATATTACTGATGATTTGTGGCCAAATAGTCCAAAATTACTGCACCATTATCTGTTCTAACTAAAGTTGAGATACATTTTTGATGAAATGAGGAGTATAAGCTAGCATTCCTGTTAAAAAAGTGTGCTTTCATGGAAGCTTTTATACTGAAATATCCATGACATGACTATGAGTTCTTGTTGAACATTGATGCCAGAAATAGTGGAATTGAATCAAATTCATCACAGTTTCAGGATGGAGTAGAACATGTTATCATTTATGCTAAATTGAATGTTGATACTATTGATACTATATGCTAAAGAACTACTTGCAATTGTGGCTTTTATGAAGCACTACTATTACTAATGTTATGGAAGAAGTTCACCAGTTGGGTGGACCATGGATTGCTGAAGAGGTTTACAAACTTAAAAAATTCAGAAAGGATAATTGCATGATGGATGACAACGTTGCAAGGGTATGACTTTGTTATCTAACAGAATTTGGACCAACAACACGGAAATGCTGACAGATTGTCTTGTTACATTGTGAGACTGACCATTCGTTGAATGGCCTAACCCTGGACACCTTATGGGAGTTAAAGCCCTTTCTGCATTAGCAATGCTAAGCAATACAGTAGGTGGCTCCACTATTGGTTGGATATCATGATTAACACTTTGTGATTTCCAGGAAGAGCAGCTGAAGGATCCAGATATAGAATGGGTTCTCCTTGATACACAGGAAGGTGAATAACAGTGCAGACTGAAGAACATAACATTGATGCACATTACCTATGGCATTGTACAGTCAGTTATAAATACAAGTAGGTGTGCTGTACCACTGTTATCAACCATCAAAACATGGTTCTTAACCCGTGTTGTAGACAGTGGTCCAGGGGCTCTAAGATAGGAAACTCTCTAGAGTTTGCATGACACAAAGACTGGAGATCACCAAGGTGTTACATACACGTTTATGGCAATTATACTGGTTACATTCAAGTTGAGATGTTTAGTGATGGTTTAAGCAATGTGCAGTGTTTACCATCAAGAAAAAAATCGGCCTAAATAGGGTACACTCTAACAGAGTTGTTGACTTTCCTCTACAGAGAATAGCCATGGATACTGCTTGTCCTCTCCTTGAGACTGAAGGAGGTAAATAGTATGTGCTAGTCGCTATTGATTAATTCAGTAAGTAAGCTGAGAGTTAACCGATGGTGCTGGCATAGTCCATGGTTGCTATGTTGGCAGAGCATTGGATGACCCGATTCTCACAGATCAGGAAATTAATTTCAACAACCAGCTATTTTCTGAGATTTTTAAGGTGTTGAATGTGATGAAGAGGCACATCTCGCCTTATCAGTCTTAATCTGATGGTTTAGCAGAACTGGTAATACAAAGTACCAAATGAATGCTTGAAAAATTTAATTCTGGCCAAGCAACCTGTGATGAATACTTGTCTTATGTCATGATGACATACCACACAAGTAAGCAGAGATCGACTGGTTGTTTGCCAGCATGCTCATGTTTAGTTGGAAAAATACTGCTTCCTGTAGAAGTGACATATGGTCGTTCCTCTGGGGTGAATGCATAACAATGTTCACAAGAACATGTGCAGTAGTTAAGGTCTGCATTATTTTGCATCAACAGTAGGAAAAGTCAATATAGAGCAGAACAGATGTTATGATAAGACAGACAAAAAACAAATGTTCCAGTGTGGAGACTTGGCATGGTTAAGCTCTGGCTGGACAGGTATTTATGTTATACATTGACAGATTAGTCCAGTGACAGATGTGTTACAGTATTTGTGTGGCACACTTGGCATGAGCAAGCAAGTCAACAAGCTGTATCTGTACATTGCAGATAACCTCTCATCTACTGGCTGCTCCAAGAATCAACGGTTCAGACAGATGTGTCAAAAGAGAATGGGTGCTGTCTCATATCATCTCAACTCAGCTGATAAGGAGAAAAAGAGATGAAAGTACTTGTTTGGTTGTACACAATGAGCTAGATGAGGAAATGCCGAGAGAAGAAGCACGAGTTACCTATACTATTCGGCTAGGAGCCAATGATGTTCTCATGGGCCTGGGATTAGCTTCCAAACTATCAGCTAGAATGGTCATTGTTGTATGATCAATGACTTAAGTGCTATTCCTTACTTTTCGATCTGATAAGATGAATTTAATTGAAAGATACACACAGGATTACCACATAGTTATTAAAGCTTGTGTTAGTAGACACAATGACCAGAATATAAATAGTTTGCATGACTGAGAAATATCACTAGGAGTTCAAAGACTCGGCTGAAAGAGTGTTTGCCCTCACTTCCAAGCTACTGAGTGATTTTTTTGAGGTAAAAAGTTGTCTGACTCCATAATATTGGAGATCCTTTATTCTTTGGAGTCTACCTTATCAGTGCACTTGAGAGTACCACATTACCAAACACCCAAAGAAGTAACTTATGAACAGAAATAAGTACAACATACTGTATTTTTCGGTGTATAAGACTCACTTTTTTACCCCAAAATTTGATGTCAAAATTTGCTTGTGTCCTATACACTGAAGGTATGAAT